CTGGGAGTGAGGCTGACCCAGGCACACGCAGATCCTGGGGCGCTGCCGATACCACACATGGTCCTGGTGGAGCACGAGTGAGTCCAGCGCCAGGGATTCTATTCACCCCAGCCCCGTCCCCCTCCTTTCTACTGCGTAGTTGTGTACTGCCTAGCTGGTAGATACGCTTACGCAGCTTGAGCATGACTACCAGCCAGGCAGTACGAAACTACGTACTGACACTCATGATAATAATACAACTTACTTAATTAGAAAATTATACGTCTGGTATTTTCTCAATTTGTTTCCCGGACAGAAACCGGACAGTTGGCAACCCTAGTCTGGGCAGACAGGGAGATTGGCAGAGACTCTAATGGGCTAAGTTTGTCAGCTTGGCAGGCCAGATCTGAGCTGGAGACTGTATTTTGTCCATCCCTGAACTAACACCTAGGGGCTACGTCTACACTGGCCCCTTTTCCGGAAGGGGCATGTAAATTTCATGAGTCGTAGTAGGGAAATGCGCGGGGGATATTTAAATATCCCCCGCGGCATTTAAATAAAAATGTCCGCCACTTTTTTCCGGCTTTTAGGCTTTTTTAAAAGCCGGAAAAAAGCGGCGGACATTTTTATTTAAATGCCGCGGGGGATATTTAAATCCCCCGCGCATTTCCCTACTACGAATCATGAAATTTACATGCCCCTTCTGGAAAAGGGGCCAGTGTAGACGAGCCCACATTGTTTGCTGCAGGCCTTTCAAATTTGGCTGGTAGAAAACCCCTCAGCTAGAGGAGAGACTTTTTTTTGTCTAATTTCTATTCAGATTCAGCTGAGTTATGAAGCGTGAGACATGACATTTCCCTCCTCTCACATTTAAGTCTCAGGCACATTTGGACAGCTTACCAAAATAGTAACTAAACACAGACATTCTTCAGAGCTGGGCTCTTGCTGGCACTAAAGCCCTACATAGGGAATGTTTGGGAGCTGCTGAAGTAGCTATAGCAGAACAGAGAAGTAGGCAGAACATCTAACACCAGTTCTGCCCTACTAAATTCCTCAATGCATGCTCCAGTCGCAGCACGTGTCCCTTGCAGCCCTCTCATAGCACAAAAAGGGATAAATACCTACATATCCCAAGAGGTGAGAGAGAAAGTTGGACTGGGCTCCCCATTACCATCCCTGGGACATCCCTGTGTCTGGGATAACTGTCTTCCCCTAAGTTAATCAGTCCTATTGTGTAAGTAGCAGCATTCTTTGCTGTTGAGATAAAAGTCCCAGGTTCACCTGGTGATGTTACTTGAAACCCTCAAAAGTGAAGAGATACCAGGTTCCTGGTTGCCTGGGAAACCTTATTTTGACCCCTTTGGGCATATGCATTATTATATAGCAATGATGGGTAAATTGCATCTTGTGGGCTGCATATGCAGGGTTTCCAGTTTCTGCTGGTTTCCATCCACAGAGGTTTTTTTCTTCTTCTATGGGTGTTATTAAAGTGACACACACATAAGGTATGTCCAGACTACATGGCTCCATCGACAGAGCCATGTAGATTTGTTTACTGGGCCAAGGGAAATGAAGCTGCGATTTAAATAATCGTGGCTTCATTTAAATTTAAATGGCTGCTGCACTGTGCCGACCAGCTGATGATCAGCTGTTTGTCAGCAGGTCGGGGCAGTCTAGATGCGCCGCAGTTGACAAGGAAGCCTTTGTCGACCAGCGCAGATAAACCTGGTTTCACGAGGCATACCTGTGCTGGTCGACAAAGGCTTCCTTGTCAACCGCGGCGCATCTAGACTGCCCCAACCTGCCAACAAACAGCTGATCATCAGCTGGTCGGCAGAGCGCGGCAGGCC